CGTGCGTGTTTGCGTGGTGGCTCGGGTGGTTGTACGTGAGCTTGTGTGGATGGACGGCCGGTTGCGCATGTGCAGTTCTTCTCTTAACTGAGATGTCATTACGTATAGAAAAACCTAGATAAAATACTAAAGTGCAAAATAGTGCTAATATCCAGTATAAGTGCTTCAATAAGTGCAAAGGGATCATTCACAATTGATCCACACAATTACAATAGCATATATTCATAACAGGACAATTACCGCATATACTCGAGTATAAGTCGACCCGAATATAAGTCGAGACCCCTAATTTTACCCCCCAAAAATGGGAAAACTTATTGACTCGAGTATAAGACTAGGGTGGGAAATGCAGCAGCTACTGGTACATTTCTAAATAAAATTAGATCCCCAAAAAATTATATTAATTGAATATTTATTTGCAGTGTGTGTATATATAATGCAGTGTGTTTGTATGAATGTGGTGTGTGTCTATATAATGCAGTGTGTGTGTATATAATGCAGTGTGTGTATGTATGAGTACAGTGTGTGTGTGTATGAGTACAGTGTGTGTGTGTATGAATGCAGTATGTGTGTGTGATGCAGAGTGTGTTTGTGTATGTGATGCAGAGCCTTGGTGGAGGGTGGGCAATTTTTTTTATTTTTATTATTATTATTATTTTAATAATTATTTTTTTATATTATTTTATTTTTATTTAAATCTTTATTTATATTTTCATCCCTCCTCCCTGCTTGTTAGCTGGCTGGGGTGGCCCTGGTGGTCCAGTGGATGGGCTGTGTAGGAGGGGGCCTGGCAGTGAGCTGTAACTTACCTTTCCTGCAGCTCCTGTCAGCTCCCTTCTCTCTCCTCCGGTCCAGTCAGCTCCCCTGTGAGCTCCACTGCAAACCTCGCGAGAGCCGCGGGATCAGAGCGTTGCCACGGTTTACCGTGGCACTCACACCGCGAGACTTACAGTGGAGCTGACAGGGGAGCTGACCGGACCGGAGGAGAGAGAAGGGAGCTGACAGGAGCCGCAGGAAAGGTAAGTTACAGCTCTCTGCCAGCCCCCAACAGGACCGCTGGGCTTGTAGTGAGCCTGGCGGTCCTGGTCTGTATTATGGCAATGTAAGTTGCCATAATACAGACATTGACTCAAGTATAAGACGAGTGAGGGGTTTTCAGCACAAAAAATGTGCCAAAAAACTCGTCTTATACTCGAGTATATACGGTATATATCTCAAATACTTATACAGAATATATACAATAAAGTGCTTAAAGCCAAATTGTGCAAGAACTATTAATCCTAATTGTTAACGATTCATTGAAAGTGCAAAAAGTGCCCCAAAAGGAATAAAATAAGGGATAAGCAACCAAAGTATCCCAAGGTTTTGAACAATAAAAATTAGACTGATTAATCATTAATCAGAATCAACCACTTAGTGAAGGTGGTACACAATAAAGATAAAGTGAACAATAACAGATCAATATATCCATAAAATATACATAAAAAAACACAAATTTAAATAAAAATAACGCATATGTCATATATATATATATATATATATATATATATACACAGTAATAGGACAGTATATATCCATTAGAGTCCAATCATTATAAGAATGGTAAAAATTAGCACTTCTCATTCAGACCTTTAGGAGACAATGTATTCAGCTCAACGATTTAAAATGTTTCCCGCTGTAATAACAATTTAGCCTATCACCCCCTCTTACAGGTGTTGGGATACTTGACCTGTGTCCCCCGATCCTTTTACAGAGTGTGGTTTCAGTTTTTCCAACATAATTAAGGCCACAGGGGCAAGTTAACTTATAAACCACACACTCTGTACTGCAGTGTATCCTAGGTTTTATTTTATAGGATTTGCCCATATGGGGATGACAGCAAGTTTTAGACGGTATATTATGTCCACACGTCACACACCCCAAACAATGGACACATCCCAAATTTACCATGTCCTGATTTATAGACTAATAACAGTGTATAGGGTCTGTATGGACCAAAAGATCTTTTAAATCTGTTACGTCTGTAGCAGATCATGGGTTTCTGTTATATAAATATTATGTACATATTTTTCAGTACAGTGATAGGTGCATTACACCACGATTTGGCTCACACATGAGATAAAGTAACCAAAACGTGCAGCTGAAGACATATATGTAATTCTTCTAGAAAATCTATATTTTAAGTGTTTTATGACCTTTGTATTTTCAGCTTTTCACATACCATGAACATTTAATTGGATACTTCTGTTTAGCAAGAGTTTAGACAAAATACAGTATGATGCCCGGTTATAGGGAAAAGGGGACATATAACAGTGTTAATTCCATCACAGCACACATTTTAGAGATTATTAATGGTGTGACTCTGCTTCCATCTACTGTCTATTTGTAATAAGTGCATGTTCGATATTTGCTTGACATAATAGGACTACAACTTAGCTGCACTAGAAAGACCTTCCATAGCTGACTGCAACAGATAGAGGCACAGACTCCATTCTTTACTCTATTATAACCCTCCCCCCCTTGAAAAAATATACATATATATATCTTGCATAAATCAAAACCTCTTCATTCAACATAATTCTTTTACAAATCCTCATTAAAATCAGTGCTGCTGGCATGGAATCCTTTTAGGGTCTACTTATATATCCACCCCAGAAACTCCAGTTTTGTAACACTTATTTAAATCTCTATATTTCAAGATGAACAAACGACTTACCCTTTCACAACTTAGGCAAAGGAGGAGATCAAATGCAACATAAATTATCCACTTCTCGGCCACACACATGAAACTATCCAGACCCATGCTTTCATAAAAGAAAGCCACGCACAACAGATTCCTCTCTTTGCCGTTTGCCAACTTGCTGTGCCCATTTGAAACTTCAAACATCTATTCCAAGACACTGGAAAACTCAGATGAATATGTAAATTGTCAATGCTGCAACATGCAACTCAAAATCATCTCATAATCGTTCTGACCTCACATGTTTCTCCATCCGAGCAGATCCACAGTCAAAGTCTATATTCTGTTAACTCTACCACTAAGAATCATAACTGCTGCCACCTGCAAACAGAGTGAGATCCAGCTCTGGCTGTTTGGTTGCCCTCCTTGAATCATCATAGAAATCAATAAATCCCATTGCTCGATCCTGCGTCCCGTTATTACGTTGAGGGATTGTTGTGACCTGAACCTCAGCAGATATAATAACCCTGAGCGATTTTTTTTGGCATTCTTTGGCCCTCATCAGCAAGGTGTAGCTGATATTCCTCTAGGCACATTGAGCATGGGGTTATGGATTATCATTTTAACTTAGGCAGAGCTTAATTAAATGTATTGCATCAAAACCCCAGAGAGGTATTGATACCGGAGAAACTGACGGAAGCAAAGCACAGAGAGATGGACACAGGTTTCTTCAGGAAGGAGGAGATTCTTTATTGGATCACCGATCGGGACTCAGAGGGACTAATGTCACCAAAAATACAGCAAGTTCTGAGCCCTGAACAATAGTGCAGGCTCCCTATATAGGCACATAACTCCTCCCATTAATAGCTACACCCACATATACCTTTAACCAATCAATGAGCAGAATATAGACTTGTACATCTAGTCAAACCACATGGCCCATCCAAGACAAAGGAAATAAGTGCAATTTCAGTTCCTGCATTCCTGCACATGCTCAGTACACTGATGACAGTATCCTAGCTACATGTAGCTAACCAACTGACACAACATACACATATGCCACATGGAGATTTTGGCCTACTAAATTTTAACCATGCTGGAATCCCATCACATTCCCCCCTTTTGATGCCTCTGATATAACATTATTCCAGATGCATCACCAATCACAGTTTTACCTACATCTCTCAAGTAGCCATTGAACCAGAGTAGACCTTGTAAGCATCTTAAAAACTCCTTCAACATTCTTCATCCTGAATATATTCTCTTCGGGCTAGGGGATCATATCTTCCAGACAGCCATTACATGAGCCGCTGTCTTTCTCTCTCTAGTACTCTCTATAATACTACGTAGGGACCTTACCACTAGTGGAATTAGACAGGGCAGGAGGAGGCACAAAAAAAATATAATAAATTCTACTCCTCCTACTAATGTCTTAATTCCTCCAAGCTGCTCATACCAACTTCCAAACCAACTACTTAGGTTATACCCATTCCAGACCTGAGTAGGTACATGCTCAAATTTAACCATGTGGCTTGTAAGTTCAGCCACTGCCTGCCCTTCATCATCTATGTGCAGACAACAGTTACTTAGATTAAACTTTCCGCATACACCTCCTTCTACTGCTAGTAAGTAATCAAGGGCTAGCCTATTCTGGTATATGGCTGATCACATCTTGGTATTTTGCTTAGCTAGAAGATTAAGCACTTGAGCTGTCTCATTAGTAATAATCTCAACTACCGCCTGTAGTCTAATAATGCGGTTGAGCATATATAATCGGAGTTCTATATCCATAAGTGCCATCTTCTGCCCAAGTAGCAGGTCCATAATAATTAATAATACGTTGAGGGGGCCACTCATTATCTTCCCAGCTACCTATATTCAAGGATGCTCTCTCCCTTTTATGATTTACATCGTAAACCTTAACTCCCAAGGTCTCTCCTGTTTCGATTGGCAACAAGAAGAAGGATGGCTTTGGCATACCTAATACACATGCCCCTTCCCAATCTTGTGGTAACTCCGAATAAGTTTTATTACCACAAATCCAGTATAAATTTGCTGGGGCTTTCCAACTAGATGTAGCCGATAAGTCAAACCATACCTCCTTTAAATGAGTGTAATTGGCAAACGGATTAGTAGGTTCCGAGACATTTGAAGCTGACCACCAAGTAGTATTTTTAGTATTAACATTATAGGCTTTTTGTCCCAAGCACGTTAGCTCACCTACAGACGTGTTATACATTGTCCCTTTCCTGGCTATACAAACATGACCTATAATGGAGGTTTTTAACCACCATTCCAATTTACTTCTAGTACTTACTTGATGATCAGACTGGAAAGGTATCTGTTGTTCATATGTCTCAGAGCCAGGGTACCATATTTCCTTTGCCTCCCATGGCCACTGGTCTCCCATATTAGTACCTCCACACACATAGCAATTAGTTACATTAAGACTACCTGCAATACCCTCAGCCAAATCAATAAATAGGTTGTTAACATTATGGGGAATTTTATCCTCAATACTCATCTCCTCATAGAAGGAATGAGAAACCTGATGAGTTTGAGTTGCCACTGTCTCAGTTTCAAGACCTACATATATTATTGTTCCTGAATTTACTCCTGTGCCATATATTTGGAACCCAAACAGACCTCCAAACCTGTCAATAAAGTACTGCAGATTGGAAATGGTCATGTGAACGGGGTTACACACATAGTTTTACAGTATGGTGTGGTAGGCAACCTTTGGATAATCATATCTTGATCCACTGTTTTTCCCAGGTTGCCCAACCTACACATGACCAATAGGGGCAGAAGTTAGTCTCTATTTGGGCAATCAGGATCAGTAGATCTTTTACTGGGACATAAGTATTTATCATTAAACCCATAAGTTCGTTCCCATTTAAGATTACCACATACATTCCAAAGTCTTCCACTACCCGAAATCGCCTTACATGCATCAAATAGTAGAATACCCGTGGAATGTATGGTGCTTATCACAGTCCTATTTATTAATGTCCCCTGGGAGTTACTATTCCGAATTACCAACCAAATTGTACGGGGTTGGAAATGGGGATCAAAACATTTAGACTCTCCTGATATTGGCTTGCACACACTATAATCAATATCCAAATATCTACATTTAGATACAGATCCCTTACATTCATACTGTGAGTGCCAGATGAAAGTTTGGGATATTTGGTTACCTCTTTTAGTAGTCTTAATGCAACTATCGCAATTCGGTATGTCTATACTCCTACCTTCCTGAAAAATCATAAAAATACTAAGACACAATAAAACACATTATTCCTGAAATCCTCATTTTTCTTCGACCGTGCGATGGCCTCTCAGCTACCCGATTGTGAGGGCTGCAAGGATGTTGTTCTTCTGATCCTCACTTTCCTTCACAGAGATCCCTTCAAGATACTCTGGCTATGACACGTAGGCAGGTGGTCAGGCTTTATTATGGCCGTCAAAACACCTACTTGATGATCTTTGTAGACTTTTAATTAGAATGTCTCGATATCCCCTCGTCACTCCGACTGAGTTGCACGCTTCAACCGGGTCCTGCAAGGATTCTCAGGATCTGGAGTAGTTTGCCAAGAGTCTGCTGCTGGTTTAACCTTAGAATGATGAATCCAAGGAGTCACTTCCGCCACCTTTACAGCTGTTGGGGTAGATAAAAGAACAACATACAAAGGCTAACAGAATACACCCCGAGCTTTAACTCAATATGTATTGGTGGGATATTACGAGCAAGTCCTGGAGGATTATTTTCTTCCCATACTCCTGGAATGTCAAGTAAGGATTCATCACTCTTAGGATTAACACTTGTCACTATGGAATAGAAGCGTCATTCTTCTTCCCTCGGCACCGATATCACCATTATGCCTGGTAATCCCTTAAACTTCAGAGATGTTAATCCATTAGGTAAAAGGTTATCTGAGTTTAAAGCTTCGATAATAGATCTCATCCTAAAAGTTGAATCGGACACTCTGGCATATATAGGAACTAATGCTTCACCACATGGCCTCCCAGAATACAAGTGCGACTCTTAAGAACCGGTCTAGCTGCACTTCTCCCAGTAGCTCCTATCACAGTTATAGTCTTCCCGAAGGCGGAGCCACCATCTTAGTCACCACAGAATGTTCAGCACCTGTGTCGATCATGAAAGAACTTCTCTTTCCCCCTATTGCTACATCGACCATAGGCTACGCTCGACCAAGTGGGATGGAGCCTAGTCGGTATTAATAGTCTTCCATGATAGTGTCAGCCAGACCCACAAAATCTCTATCCTCTCTTTCTCTAGGTCTCTGCGTGGGTGGATAGTATCTGTCTCCTTGAACACTTCCTCTACTATTCCCACCATTCCCTCTAAAACTTCCTCTTACTCTATAACTACCACTATAACCTCCTCGTACCCTTCTCTCTCCTTGTCTATCACCTTCATACTGCTATCTCTGTGGACACTCACTCTTCCAATGTCCCTCCTTTCTACAATACGCACATTAATTCCTACTTAAAGTCCCTTGCTCAGCCTATTCTCGTCTCCTCTATTCACTTCCCTGTCTTTCTACACTTAAGATAGCTACCGCTAGCATATCTGCCTTTTTCCTCATTTTACGTTCTTCCTCCATCTCCCTATTCATATATACTGTATTTGCAATCTCCATTAGCTGTATTATGGACATCCCTACAAATCCCTCTAATTTTCTTTAATTTCCTTTTACTATCACCTTGGGCCTGGCTGACAAATGCTGAGTCTATCATTCGTAAGTTTTCAGGGGCCTCTGGATTAAAGGGAGTATACAACCTATTTGACTCAAGCAGTGTCTAATATGGGACTTCGGCAAGGCTGCCCAATAATAGGTTCCAGTCTACGGGTAGTAAGATAATTTTATTAGTCAGCATTTGGTGGATGAAAAAACGTTTTGTTTTTTTTAAAGTGTTAAACCAAAAACCTACCAGTAGGTGTCACCAGAGGGTAATTGTATCAAAATAATCTTTATGGGTCTAATAAGAAAACTCAACTTTTAATATATTTATACATAAA